TTCCTCCATTTCAGGTGCAGTACGATGGTATAAAATAACAGGGGTTTTGTTTTTTTTTATTCCCTACCATCGGTCATTTTTCTCTTGAAGATTGGAGCTCTAGACAGCAATGACGGGGGGGTGCAGACTGTTAGATTAGAGGTAAAAATTGGAATAACAGGTAAACACATACGTATCCTCTTCTTACTTATAAATGTTACTGTTGCTCCATACTTTGTGTTTTAACCTATACTACAATCTTATCTTGAACCTCATGTTTTTTTCTTTTTTCTTTACTTTTTTTTCCCTTTTGCAAAACAGCGTTTATGAGGGTAGATAGCCTCAAATCTAATGCGGTCTTTCAGAGTAGCTGGAATGCGCTATACATAGTTTTATGCTTCTGTGTGCGAAATTAATTTTTCATGGGAATTGTCTGTTATTGTTTTCATTCAGTCAGTGATTTCTGTAGTTGACGGATGTTTTCTGATTTTTTTTGCACGTGGGTTGGTAGCAATTTTTGTACTTGTAAAAGTATTTAATCTTGTTGTATGATGTTGTTTTGGTTGGTTTAATTAGGTGTGTTGAGATTTGGAAGGTTAATAGTTCTGTTCCCTTTGTTTTGATGCAATTTGTGAGCTCAGTGGACAATGATTAATTATTGTTATATTTTTGGAAGTTGGTATAGGACAATTTGGGCTTTATGTATTTGTTTCAACTTAATGTGGTTCAGGGTATTGAGCATTGTATTTCAAAGTGACATTTTCTGTCGCTTGATGGAAGTTCTTTCTTGTTAATTCCTTACAAGATTACTCATTTCTTGGTTTCCAATCATGTTCAGGTGTTCATGTGTCTCAACTATCGAAGATAAATCTAACATTTGAACACTTTTAATAAGAACAAAAACACCAAGCAAGCTGCTCCGAAGTGCGATGCTGTTTACCTCAAACTCCTTGTGAAGGTTATTTTTATCCTTCTTATTTATTTGCTACTGAATTTACCGTGCTGAAATCATGTAATGAGTAGAGGGTCTGTATGATATGATCTTACGTGTTTGTGTGTGAGGCGGCAGTTGTATCGATTTCTGTTGACGAGGGCTGGAAGCAATATTGAAACATATTTATTTGGACATTTTTGCGTGCTATCTATGCAGTTGTACACTGAAAAACCTTGGAGGTATCTTTAGATTTTATCAACAATGAATGAGTACATGTTGGTGCATGTGTGTTTCGTTATATTTTACAATTTGCGTTTTAATTTCTTTATTGCATGTGAGCTTCTTTCCCTGAGGCATTGTTTAAATACATTTTTTAAAGGAGCTTAGTTTGTTGTTTGTATAGAATATATAATAGCAGCGCATCTATGGAAGGAAGTAATCATTTGCGTAAATGTGGGCAATCTGTTCGAAGATTAAGGCGAACTCAATCATTTTATTGGAATAGGGAAGTTGCCGCTATACCATCAGTTCCTTCTGGTTTGTATCTATTTTTATAATTTATTGGTCATCTTGATTCATTTATAGTTTTGTTCTTTAAAAGAACTCAATTAGATTTAAAAGAACTCAATTCCCAATCCGTGTGTGTTTTGCTATGACTATAAGTAAAGCGCAAGGTCAAACTCTTGATTTTGTTGGATTATATTTACCTGAACCTATATTCTCACATGGACAACTTTATGTTGCATTATCAAGAGCAAAAAACAGTGCATGTATCAAAGTTCTTATGAAACCAAGTGAAAATAAAATAGTGCATTGCACATGTACGAAAAATATTGTGTATAAAGAAGTCATATCTGCTGTTTCTTCCAGGTGACAATAATGTAAGTTATCTTTTTATGTTCATGTGTTTACTTGGTATCTCAAGAAAATTGCTTCATGTAGCACAAACCAATTTTTATTGTAAGAAACCAAAGATTTATTTTAATTGCTTTCATGAAGACTATTTTATTTAAATGAAATTTGGATACCCAGATCCAAAAACCAATCAACCAAGATTCGATGCTGTCTATGTTCTTCAGAACAGCTCTACCCATGCACAAAAATCTACATCATTGTCTCCATATCAGCTTTCAGTTCTAACATTCAGGAACGTCTGGTTTGAGGTAAAGAAGGCTAGCTATTTGTGTCTGTGGATGGTCTTCTCACGCCAAGATTGAGAGTGATATTGCCTGAAATTAGTTGGTCTTCAAAATATTTCACTCTTTTGCTTCAAAACTTTAATTTAAGAATCATATTAGCCACATGTTATTTTTTTGTTGCATTCACGCCATTCATGTAGTTTTGAATCACTGAGTTGGCATTCACTCTTGTTTTGGTTTTATTTTTTGCGTTTCCACACTTGTTTGTAAACAGTAGCTCAAGTGTGGATCTAAGTTTCTTCTCCTAAGTTCTTGGAAAATGCTTTTCAGGGATGTGAAGCAAGAATGCAGGCAATATCTTTCCAGATTTCACTTACACGTGTAAACTCAAACATATTAGCAAAATCTTGAATGATGACTCAGAAAATAATTCCACAACATACATGAGATTTTGAATGAATGATATTTGTTCATAAGAGGGACATCTTGTCTTACCATTGCAGTGAAGCCTAGAACGTTGGTAGGAACAACCTTCTTGAAGTTTCTTGCGGGTAATAAGCTCCACTATCACTTTACCATATAAAAGCTTTAAGTGTTAATGTTTGATATTAAAAAGAAGTCTGGATGTTTTTTATGTTCTTCTGCTCATCAGATCAAGTGAGCAGATATTCTAGGTGCCCATTTGATTATTTTTCATATGAATAACTCACAAATTTAACAAACGTTACTTTGTTTTGTAAAAGGTACTTGTTTTTATTTGCTTGTTAATCTTTAGTAGTAAATTCTTCCTGCTTTTGTACCTGACAGAGAATGAATCAACATTTGACCTTCTATATTGCATCGCATTCAAGCTGATGGACCATCAGTGGCTAGCCATGCATGCTTCTTACATGGACTTCAATGTACGTTTCTCCTTTTTGTTTATGTGATTAAAAATAGTGTGAAAAGCACATTTTCTTCTGCCCGCATCCCGTCCATCTTCAGTGGCGCTGTAGAAATTTCTGATGTTTAGGTTTTGATCACTCAAAATAGGACTTTGGAAAGTGCATTGGGACTGGTAAATGATACATATGGTGGTATTAATGCTTAAATGGGTCAATGTATGAAAAAGGAGTGGCTTTTTTCCCTTTCTTTTATCATCCTCTTTTTTAACCTTCTGAACAAGAGTTTTTTTTTTTTAACTTATTTTTGGACTCCAACAAAAGAAGCCTTATTCCATACAAATGTAGAATCTGCAATACTTGTAACCTTCATCTGGTTTGTGGGATTTAATATATTACCGTCTTTGCTCTACTTTTCATTTGGGAAAGTTGAGGAAATTATTAATTTCTGGTCACTGTATTAATTTTTTTTTACTCCTTTTTCGTTTGGGAAAGTTTAAGAAATTATTCATTTCTAGGCATTATGTTATTATCTTTTTTAGTCCATTTTTTGTCTGGGAAGGTTGAAGAAATTATTAGTTTTTGGGCATTCTATTGTTATGTTTTTTTACTCTTTTTTTATTTGGGAAACTGTTTGCTCAAAATAAACACCACTCTTCTTTTTCTGATTCTATATAGAAATAAAAATATAAGGCTGCTAATCAAAGAGCTAAGCAAGCACTGGAGAAGGTATTTTTATGTTATGTCGATATATATGTGTGTGTCTTTGTGTAGGCTGCACGGAGATAGCTCCGTACAGCACGGATCTGGAACTGGTGATTGTTGATGCTGATATAGTGATATATGCCCATTTATCCAATTGTCATTGAAAATAGTATTACTTTGTATCGACGTCATTGCCATGATAAACAACTATGAATTGATATACACCTAATATGTTTAATTCATTAGAGCACACTCCAATTTACAGTCACAAAGCTATTGTTCGGTAAATTTTTTTCCAGATTCTAAGGTCAGATTTCATTTTTAATCGTATGGGGCACTCTAGCTTATGGTAGCTTTCTAATTAATTATCATTGAATTGAAGAATCCTTTGGTGAATCTGGAGTGGAACATCATTTTTAAGAAACAAGGTACCCATTTGTCCTTAGTTTCGAGTGGCCCATATGACTAATCTTTTGTTACTCACAATTGTTTATTGAATATGCTCTGTTTGTTTTGGATTCTTGATGTATTTTTTATTTGAATAATAGAAATTATTATTTTTGCCCTCTTGTTGTGAGTTGTAAAATCCGTCCCTTAGTTGAATTTTGATTCTTGAATTATTTGAACAGATGGGCGACACTGTTAAATATGGAGCTACAATGGAAGTGTCGTTTCATTTGGTAGATTTGATAATTATTCACTTCCTTGGGAGAAATGGTCATCGTTTTCACCAAATAAGTATTTGCACGAAATCAAAAATATTTCTACACCAGGGTCAGTAGCTCAAAAGAAGGCCTATTTTGAATCACAGTACAAAAAAAATTGCTGCTCAGAAAGCCGAACAGTAGGAGGAAAATCCAATGGAACCTATTAGTCAAAGCCCCGTAAAGTCAATCAGCGAGGACCACTTTGGAAACTCGACTGGTATTGATACTGAGTCAGGCATATGCAATGATGATAAATCTGGTGAAGTAGTTGTTAAT